GTCATTATCTAATTGTTTTCCCCAGTTCCCCTGCTAAGCTCACGACTAAATAGACTGACTACAATCTATGATGTATAAATCAATTCAAGTAATAATGTCCAACCTAAAGTTTTAAATTACAGAAATAAACAAAATAAAAATAAAATAAAATAAAACTACCTTGCCAGGGGTGATAAGGCCCTTTTCCTCAGCATCTGCAATCATACTATAACCAATCCTGCACCGTCACGACCAATTATCAGGACTAAAAAAATCTAATAGTTAACATAAGAAACACATTCAAAATTCAAATCAGCATAGTAATTCCTAATGTTAAGATAAGAACAAACTCAAAAAAAAGATTAAAAAACCTGTCTTTAACACTAGAGCATGGTTCCATGAGCTCAAGCTTGGCCGCAATACGACCTACACAACCATCCACGATCCGATTGAGATATACCAATGGTGTTTTACCAATCAACTACACAAACAAACAAGACATAAGCAAATGAATCTTCCTCTAATCTTCACCAATATAAACAATATACTAAAAAAAAAAAAGAGAGAGAGAAAGAGCTTACTTCAGTGACATCTTTGGCAATCCCAGATCTCTCAGCAGCCATGTTTCCCAAGAACTGCGATTCAGAAAACCAACTGATTCGTGACTACAGAAAGGAATATTTTTCTTTCCTCAACAAAAGAAAAGACAGTCGTAGTCGTATTCCTCTTTCACGCTTCAGTCAACATAAGAGAAAGAAAAAAAATTTTCTGAGCAACCATTTTCCCACCTTCAGATGACCTAAATCAAAGCAATATATTCCGATATTGAAATCATAAACCGATTTACCGTAAATTAAGCAGATAATTAGACACGATTTTCAGGAAATGAATCGATTTTTCAGTACTGTTAAAAGTAATCACCGGAAACAGATGGAATGATCGGAGACGATTTCCTCCGATTTGACTGAAGGGAGAAAAAAAAAAGAGCGGGAAGAAAGGGAAAGATAAGGGAATCACCTTTGACGATGAGTTGATGGAAGCTGAATGAAATGAAGTCGTCGGTTCCCACCCTGCGAGTCCTCAACTGGGGGAGGAGATTTGATAATACTTAATCGCATAATCTCCTTCCTGTTTACCCTACTAATTTACGTTTTTCAAAATTAATTATTCATATCCACAACTTCTTTTTTTTTTTTTTTTTTTTTTGCCTGAAAAATAGTAGGAATTCGATTTTA